TCCCATAGTATAAGTAGAGCACATTAGAATGAAAATCCACATGTTTCAAACGAGCTCCATCCATGTACAAGTGCAACGATTTAATTTTGGTGAAATCCTTCACGTTCAGCGTGAATGCTCGAATGCGATCACTGGAAATAAAACCATCTACATGCCAATGGGTGTTGACAACAAAAGGGATTGCTGCCAGTCTGAAACAATGCTAACCTCGACGTTTTGTAAGCTTTGAAATACACACCATTAACATTTGCGATCACAACAATCACCTCTTTGAAATGTTGTGACAATAAAAACGCTTTGCTCGTTTCTCCAAACGCTTTCGCAATTTCGCCATCTGCAAAACTAGTCGTTAGAAATTCGTATGAATCAACGCTCATTCATTTTTCGGCAACTATACGCTTCCAAATTCCAGCAATTTTTGCTTTGGGAGTGCAGAATTTTTAACAAACTAGATGATCCATATAGATTTTTAGTATTCTACAGAAATACGATCTGATTGCAACACTATTACTTATTTGTGTTAAGGCTATATATATATTTCAGCATAGCTCAAAAACTTCACAGATCCTTGGTCGAGAATATAGGGAATGAGAATCAAGGAAAAGGAAAATGTGCGAAAAAGTGGTATCGTTCCTCCGTGACTCCTATAATCCCGGTTAAACTAGACTTCTCAACTTTACCATTGAAAACGTTGTGCTAGAAATTGGCACCACTTTTCAAACGTAGCCGTTACATCGAAAGAAGCAATAGAGCAGTGATTCTCACGCTCTTGAGCACCTGTACCTCATTCGATGGTACGGCTGGTGGTCATTATCCCCTCTCCCCCCCTCTTCCCCCTTCCTCCCTCCTCCTCCCACCTTCCGCTATAATAGCGGCAATCGAGGGAGGGAATTGTTTCTGAATTAAAATGATTACTTTTCGCGTATAGACCGGCCAGGTTGTAGGCTTCATCCAAATAATCAAACTCGCCGTTCTGTGGAGCGATGAACAAAATACCATTCCGAATACCCACCAAAACTGAATCTCTTATCCCGCTCTCGTACAATTTTTTCACACCACCATCAACAACCACTAGAAAAAGGGCACTTAATCATCAATATTGCGAAGTTTACGGAGATTTCCACATTCAACACGATGTTTTCGAACAGCATTTCTAACTTACAAGAATACAAGAAGGATTTTGCTCTAAAAATTGAAGCGATGAACATATTCTGATTGCAAGCATGATCCCTCTTAAGGATCACCTGGTTCGTGCTCATAGATTTAATCGATATTAGTGAAATCATCCGGAAGTTTGAGTGGAATAGAACTTCAATGAAAAATTCGATGAAAGGTCATGATTTTCCAGTTGATTCATCTTAGAGGTATACACTAATATTTATACACTAATATCAGTCAAGTTGTTTTACGCGGAGGTGGTGCGCTCATTTCTGTATTTCGATAGATGTCACGTAATCGTCGATTGTGTCGCCATAACAAGTGTATATCCATATTTGGTATTCCTTTGGATGCTACACATAGATTTAGTTTTTCAACTGTCTGAAAAGCGTATCGCCTGAAAATTAAACACTTTAATGAATCGAAGCCGACAAAGACTGGAAATTTTCACGTTCAACTCATAGTTTTGTCAATTCATTTTTGCCAGGAGAAGATTAACTATTGAGAATAATACATGGAACATTCTTAACAATTGGAAATAATTTTCTCGAAACGGTCAAGAATCTCAATGAAACGAACCATTCTTTGCCCAATTGTGGATTACTTTCACCAGGTGCGATAACTTCAATTGATGTTAAATCGTTCCATAGACGTGACTCGTCAACATGTCGATAGGCTCTATTCATTTCAACAATT